AATAATAATAATAATAATAATTTATTAATTTATAAAGCGCTAAAACTATAAATATTCTAAAGCGCTATCATTACAAATTCAAATAAAATGTTATAAAGTATGAGATGATACCTATATATACATGTTTAAAAATTACTATTATATTTAAAGATAAAATGCCTTTTTTAAAAAGAAAGGTCTTAAGTCTGTTTTTAAAAGTTTCCACTGTTGACGCCTCACGAATGTCAGCGGGAAGTTCAAATTTACTATTATATTTAAAGATAAAATGCCTTTCTAAAAAGAAAGGTCTTAAGTCTGCTTTTAAAAGTTTCCACTGTTGACGCTTCACGAATGTCAGCGGGAAGTTCATTCCACAAAAATGGACCAGCCTTGGCAAAAGCTCTGTCGCCAAACGTTTTCCTCATTGTCTTAGGAACTATTAGCAAATTTTGCTCATTCAAGCGCAGGCTGTAGCAACCAATATGCTTAGGTGTCAGAAGGTCTGAGATATAAGGCGGTGCATTAGCATGAAGAGCCTTGTACACCAGCAACAAAATCTTGAAAATCACCCGATACCGTACAGGAAGCCAATGAAGGCCAATCAAAACGGGAGTAATATGATCGAATTTGGGGATTAAACAGACCACACGTGCTGCAGCATTAAGAACTCTTTGTAACCTATCATATTGAGACTGTGGCAGACCATAAAACAATGAGTTACAGTAGTCCAGGTGTGAAGTAACAAAAGCATGAACCAAAATCTTTGTTGTATCTTCTGAAAGGAATTTCCTTATCTGCCGGATATTATAGAGGCTGCGAAACGCCTTACTACACACTTTTCCGATGTGAATATCCATCGACATATGTGAGTCAAACCACATTCCGAGGCTTTGAACCACCTCCACAGGCCCGATCGTAGATTCACCAACTGTAATTTCATTGATGTTAATCTTTGACATTTGCTGCTTTGAACCGATGATAATAAATTCAGTCTTGGAATCATTTATCAAGAGACGGTTAGAAAGCATCCAGGCACGAATGTCAGCAACACAGTTTTCAATACTCTGTAGTGCAGCATCTTGTGATAAAGATGTATCCGGCCGAAACGAATGATAAATCTGGGTGTCATCTGCATACGTATGTGCATTGGGAAGATGTTTGTCAATAACCTTAAATAACCCAGCCACATATAGAGTATGAAGAGGACAGGGCCAAGGCAGCTACCCTGCGGAACTCCCGATTGAAGATTGAAAACTTCCGATTCATGGTCTTTAATTAAAATTGTTTGTTTGCTCTCGGATAAATAAGATGTTAGCCATTTGAGGGCATTTCCAGTTACGCCAAAGTCTTTTTCAAGTGTCTCCAGTAAGATAGCATGGTCGATAGTATCAAATGCGGCACTTAGGTCGATAAGCACAAGAAGCGTAACCTCCTGCTGATCCATACTGAGGAGAATGTCGTTCTGGACTTTTAGTAAAGCTGTTTCTGTTGAGTGATTTTTCCGATACGCTGATTGATACTCGGGAAAAGGGGCACTTTCAGCACAATGTATAGATAACTGAGAGATCGTTGCCTTCTCAGCAGACTTGGCAACAAATGGCAGGTTGCTTATAGGTCTGAAGTTTTCAAACATAAAATCAAGTCCAAATTTCTTCAAAAGAGGTAAAACTAGCGCTATTTTCCAATGATCGGGTACAATTCCTTCAGAAAAAGAGAGATTAATGATTTCAGCGATGATTGGGGCCAATTCATGACAACAGAGTTTAACCAATGATGTAGGAATAGGGTCCAACTTACTGGAAGCATTCGAAGATTCAAGGATAATCCTCCGAACTTCATCCTCAGAAACCGAAGAAAATTCATCCAATTTCACTTCAGGCAGATGAAATGGAACATTAGGTGGGTTAATGGAAATCTCGTCAATCATTGATTTCACGAGTTCAATTTTCTTACAAAAGGACTCAGATTTGTCAATAAGGTTGGAATAAAAAATTTTTCTGTTGTCATTCAATATAGCACTATAGTCATCGCGTACCTTACGATAAGCATTCTTATCACATTCAAGTTTCGATTTAAGCATGATTCTTTCCAGTTTCCTACGTTTAGCTTTCAGCTTCTTTAAACTATCATTAAACCAAGGAACCATTGGTCGAACAGTCATAACTTTCGATTTCAAAGGAGCATGCTTATCAAGAATAGAACATAGGGTAATATCATAGCATTTTGACATATCATTAACACTTGACCAAGTTTTCTGAAATAGATCTGAGGCGCATATATCAGCTTTAAAGGCATTGAGGTCAATATGTTTAACTTTGCGATAGCAAACTTCTTTAACTAGGATGTTTGGGCGAGGAATATCCAACAAACATTCAACAAAAAAAATGATCAGACAAAGCAAACGTCGCCAAAGGAGAGGTGATTGTGACATCATTAATTGATCTAGTGATAATCAAATCAAGGGTATGACCTGATGAATGAGTTGGGACATGAACATGTTGGATAAGTCCAAAAGTATTCATTAAGTCCGCAAACTTTTTCGCGTCTTCTTCGGTTGGACAATCAACGTGAAAATTAAAATCACCTGTAATCAAGAGTACTTCGGGAATCATAACAATGTTCTCCAAGTATGATGAAAACTCTTCGAAAAACACATTTGATGAAACCGGGTGATCTTCCGAGTAGGGAGGTCGATAGATTGTCACCACTTTAATGGTTTGCTTGTGCACACAAACATTCCACTCCGAGAATTCAAACGAATTAAATTCTCCACAGTCACTGGATTTTACATTTAACGATTCTTTGCACAGAATACCCGTGCCGCCACCACTTCTACCAGACTGTCTTGGGAAAGATCTAAACACAAATCCTGCAGTAGATAGTCCAGCAATGCTGACAGAGGCACATTCCTTTAACCACGTTTCAGTGATAGTACATATATCAATACAGCTATCAACCATATGATCAATGATAACGGCGATCTTGTTCCTTACAGAGCGCGAATTAACACAAGCAAATCTGAGACAAGTTAGTTTCTTTGGCATTACGTCAGCATCATTTTGGTTTCTTAACGATTCAGTCAAGGGAATATTAATTAAATTATTATAATTCACACCGGTAAAGTTTACCGTGGTAGAAGTTTCCAATGTTTCGGGACTCAGTAATAAAAGTTGAACCATCCTATTTTGTCTCTCATCGAGAGACCCGTACCAAAACCCTCATTGTTAGTTTTTCTGTGATTGTTATGACTTTTGTTTTTGTCGGATGATCTTGATTGTTTACTCCCCTGTGTAGATACACAACTTTCCACGCTATAAACCGTATTTGAACGGTTGAGCTCTGTTTGTCTCAAGTTAGCTTTTTTACGGGTTTGTTTTGATTTCCTAATTGAGGTAATACGAACTGGAATACTTTGTTGTTGATTAGACTCATGTGGATAACAAGGTTCCTTAGGTAAAGAGCCACTCGGTTGATTTCATTACACGTATTGTGACCAACATTAGTGTGGTACGGGTCATTAACGCTAGAAACAATGCTAATTTCTTCAGAGTCATCAAGAATAAGGTTACTTATACTCATAACATGCATTTCATTATTCACATGGGTGGTTTTAGGAGAGGAAATATTCATTAGCATGAATATTAATTGCGTTCTCAGCTTTTGCGTTCTCAGCTTTTGGTTACTTATACTCATAACATGCATTTCATTATTCACATGGGTGGTTTTAGGAGAGGAAATATCATTAGCATGAATATTAATTGCGTTCTCAGCTTTTGCGTTCTCAGCTTTTGCCTTCTTCTCGAGATTTTTCAACTTAAAATTTAAGTTTTTCACCTCCTCAACAAGAAATTTATTTTGGCGTTCCAAACTAGCGATAGTATCACTGTCTCGCTCATCGTTTGAGCTCTCTATATTCCCCACTCGATCTGCTAACATGTCACATTTACTCTGCAACTTAAGCAACTCTTGTTGTACATTATTGATAATTTCAGTGTTAGTGTTGGTTTTATGTTCCATCCTCGACTCAAGAACCACGTTATCTAGTTTTATTCCTTCGATATCAACAGTCAAATTGTTACATTTGCACGAACAGGAACTAACAAGATTAATTTTATCTGAATTCGGGAGATCTATGTTTATATTACCCGGCCGATCTGAGGGGCGAAACGAAGCGATATTCGTTAAAATTACAATAAATAGTTCAATTATCCTTTCAGCTTGATTACCTTCAACCAGAAGGAACTTTTTATTTTTCCACCAGGTGATAGATGTATCTGGATTACTGCAAACTTTCTTCTCTCCTCCGGGCGAAGTCCATTTCCCGTCAAATTTTATATAATCACTAACAACACGTTTTAAAGATTCGAAATCACCAGCCCAAGATAACTTCAGATTCTTCATAGCCAAGGCAGTTATTTCATCATTAATCGTTCGTGTAGAACTAAGATCTTTAGCCAAATCACTATTTGTGTCAGTGAGATGATTATTATCCGGTAAAAGCGTATTTATAACAGAGCTATACATTGCATGACCATCCGCTTTAATAACCATCCGCCGATTACACCGATTTTGGTGTTGTGTATATACTGTATGTACTGCCACATGTTGGTTATGGGTAAATATCAAGATTTTGTTGGCATCACACTTTATTGAAGGATCATGTAGATGAAAATTTAGTATTACCATTAATAGCTACGCGGTCAGGTCGGTTCGACTATGCGATATTTCGGAACTAAATCTAGTTCCTTCGATATCAGTGTAATCTAATAATCATGATATTTCAGTGTAATCTAATAATCATGATATTTGCCAACACAGCAAATATCATGATTATTAGATTACACTGATATCGAAGGAACTAGACTCAGTTCCGAAATATCGCATACTCGAACCGACCTGACCGCGCAGCTTAGTTGGCAGAGCATTGGGCTAGTATTCCAAAGGTCGCAGGTTCGATTTCCACCGTGGCCAGGCATTTTTTTCAAGCCTGCCAGGTGTGGATATACACTCATAGTAACATCACATACATCTTATTCACCTGAGTACACTACACCAACACAGCAAATATCACATTGTATAATTTTTTATTACTTCATGAGTTCATGTGAAACCACCACCATACGAAGCAATTTTGTATTGGGGGCTGATTAATCAGTGGCGCTTATTAGGTCATTATTTCCCTCTCAAACTTTACAGATTGTCGCTAGTTTACAAATTATTTGGGGTGCTGCAGACCATAATCCCCCCCCCCCAACCACCATTCTCCCCCCCACCCCAGTAGCTACAGCCCTGGGAAACACAAAGCTAACTTTGAGGCCACTGAACATTATATAAAGTATAGCACTACTACTCTAATCCAAACATGTGGTATAAATCTGATGTTTTAACCGTGCATTTGTCCTTCTACTGTATATAGTCCGATCACTTTATTTGCATACACTTTCTGACAAAAATTTTGTTTTCACTTTTCAGTCTGATTCTTCATTACTACTTCCCACATTTTTCCCACATGATGTTCTTTTTACTTCCTGTTCTTTATCACATTATAAAGACAAAACTAGCAACAGATCCTAGTCTCGCCCATAGCTACAACACACTAAGTCATGTGACTTTAATCACCAAAAAACTCCTTCTAAGCTTGATTTATTCCCCACTGTTGCCCTCACATATGAAACTGTTTTATTTCCTGTAGATATATAGTGTTTTTGGCGTTCCATATAACACACTATATAGCTATGAGTTATCTATATATAATCTCCATATTGTATCTATAACACTATTATAGATATAATTATAGCTACAATAACTAATAAGTTTAAAATATATCATTGAAATAGGGTATGCATGAAGTCCTTACCGTGCAGTAAGTACAATTTTCAGCTGTTTTGATGCTGATAGATTTACATACACCTTATTCTTCCTCATACTATATGTATGTACTACAGTATGTATTAATATATTTTCTTTCTGTTAATTGTCTGTCCGGTTTTGTACAACCCAGTAAGAGGTTTGAGAAACCATGTGAAATAGAAACAGTTTATGATACTGTACGGTATGTATATACTTGAGAGATAAATGTGCTTGTGCTTCTTAACTTTCTTTGCAGGATTTATCGGTTTTGAAAGATGTTCCATCTTTATTGTCATTGACAAATGAAAAACTGCCTTGAAATTACAAAATGCCAAAGGAATGTGTTTATCTGCGGGGCTTCCACCTTCACTCGAATCATGTATATGAAGTAGCTACATATATATATATATATATATATATATATATATATATATATATATATATATATATATATATATATATATATATATATATATATATATATATATATATATATATATCAAGAGCCAGCCCCAAAAAATCTTCATTTATAAATATCAAGAAATCATAAATCTTCAAAGTAAATAAATTATATTTTTACGTTTCAGGGACAAGCCCCTTCTTCAGAATAACGCTACATCATCTCCGTCTCTTGCTTAAATAGTCTAACGTTTAGCTATGCATAAATTAATTAAACCTCTTCCTTAAATTAAGCCCACGTGGGACATAACTATTTAGTTTCTCAATCCAAAAACTCTCCCTCTCAGTGGGGTTATTAACGTCCGTGACGTCAATAACCTGCACTAAAAAATCACTTAGACCTGAATGTCCCTCCCCCCAAAAATGGGCATACAATTGTTGCCCACAAATATTTCTCTGCCCCCGCCCATATCTATTTAATGCACTCTTGTGGTTATTAAATCGCAATCTGAACGGTGTTATGGTATTCCCCACATATTGCAACCCACAGAATTTACAACTAATCAAATACACTATACCCTCCGAGTCACAATCGAAGCGATGATTAATGCAGAAAGACCGCCTCTCAGCATGGCTTTTAAAAGTAGCACCAATAATGACATTGTCACAGATTTACATTTAATTACTTTGAAGTTTTTGAATTCTTGTCATATATATATATATATATATATATATATATATATATATATATATATATATATATATATATATATATGAATTATCCAAAGTAGATATCTACAATGCAAAGACAGTGGGCGTGATGTCTACAGATAATTATTTAGACTCGATAATGACTTGGGACTTGTGCTGTCTATATTACCATACAAAATGAATCAGTATGATGAGAGAGTCACAATGTATATAGCGTAATAATATTTGACACCAAATTGGCAATAAATTGGCATACACCTTGGCATATTGAAGTATACGTAGCAAATTTGATACTAAACTTACATCAAATTCGCATATAGCTTAAATGTATTGCACATACGTACTTTCTGTTTTCGAAAGTTTGTCGTTAAAACTGACGCGTAAACTTGTCTTTAATTCGCTCATTATTTGCTAGTTTTTCTCGTTTTTTACCACAATTCAAATATACTTTGAAAACAAAAATTCAATGATGAAGAGTTGACTTTAACCACCTGAGCAGTTTAATTGAAATAGTCAAAACTTTTTTGCAAGCATACTTGCTTGATACTAGGAATATTAAGCTTAATTGGGGCAAAGAGTGCATGGGCGTTCAAGACGGCAAAAAGCCGTAGAATCTTTTTTTTCAATTTTGCCATTAATATGGCAATTGCTATAATTATTAACGCAAGAAAAAATGTAAAGATTGTCGCGCACATCTGCAAACAAGTGAATATAGTACCACCACCCTAATCGTCTACCGCCCGCAACTGCAGGCCAGATGGTTTTTTTCGGGAAAATTGACCAATCACGTAGCCTTATTTATCTTCGAAGCCTCGAAGTCAGAACAAAAAAAAAATTGACAACAAACTGCAAGCTTTTGTTACTCAAAAAAAGCACCAAAAACATATAACTTTAATATCAATGGGACAAAATAGAGCACTATAGTGGGAAATGTGGAGTATATCACGGGCAATAGGACAGGTGTAATGCAGTGGTGTAGTGTTGTTAAATAGAAAGTTAGAAATGGTATTGTACTTACCCATGTATTACAATTATGTTTAAAAGATCAGAATATTCATAACTTCTTATTTTGTTTCATAAATAGTTCTTTAATATTGGAAACAAATTCCACATCTACTTTGTCTACCGCCGCCATGTTTACTCGCCCCAATCTACATACTACATGGCATTGCCGACCCTCCTGGCAAGATAATATGCAAGCGAGAAAAATTAAGGAGAAAATAATTTAAATAATTTGATAAATCAAATTTGTGAAAGATATACGACGATTAAAACTTAAAATGTTTGGAAATACGACGTTTGTTTAGAGCAAATAGATTCGAAAAAACAACAAAATGGCTTTTATTTCTCCACCAAAAAGACTTTATTTCACAACTGAATCGACAATGAATATTGTATTTGGACTCTTAAAAAAAGGTTGGAAGACTTACTTCATATCTAGTTGGTTATATTTTCTTTTACAGTGTTTTTCAGATCTTTTTTGACACCTTGGTTTTCCAGACTTTTGACCACTGGGATTCATTTCATGTCTAGATATATTTTAACAATAATATTTAATATAGCATATATTTAGATTATTAGTCTGGTCGTTGAGCATATTGACCGGGAAAAAAATGGTATAAAGATGATTTTTACACCAGAGAAGCATAATGTGCCATGGATTACCTTATCCAAAATCCGCAAAAATCCTAAACGGGGAATTCGTTTTATGAGTGTGTTAAGGTGGCTACCTATAGCCTTTGGGAGTCTGGGACTGCATGCAGGCTAGGCTCCCTACTGTTTATTAAAATATGGACTATTCATAATTAAAGTCAAACCCTTTGAAGAATGTTACTCGCTGGAACACAAAACATGAATACATTTTCTAGAGCAACAATCAAAGAGTCAGACATTGGTAACAAAACTGACGTCATTACCGTTACTATGGCAACAATAACGATTCAATAAGGCCGATGTCTTATTATATTAGCGCACTTAACTTGGTCGGTTACTCTCATTTTTTTAATGAAACGTTTTTTTTGTACTACAATCGATTGTCTTGACGAGTTAGTACAAAATTTGTTGAGCCAAATTTTTGCTTCGAAATTAAAAACCAAGTAACAAATTTCGTTATACAGAATTGCTTTAATCTCGATTATATGGTCTACCAGAAAATTTTTCGTAAAATAAAATGTGGATTTCTGGTCGTTTTTAGTTTAACTTTAGTCCATATTTTAAAGAACTGTTACTGTAGGGTTCCACCATATTTTTCAAAATTTGGTATAAAAAAAAAACTAAAAAATAAGTGTTGGTTAACCTTCATTGAAGTAAATAAGTGCAACTGTTGCTCGAAATTGTTACTGTTAACTGCATGTTGAAATCAATAGTTACTACTCTTCATCAATTCCAACATTGTCTTCGTTGTCAAGGATCTCCTCAGCATTTTGTCAACTGTCTCCTCTGCAGTCTCCACAGGCTGTTACAAATTTCAGCCCACCATGTTTACGACATGAGCAACTGTTATTACCACATGGATTTCTAGAGGATAGTTTACATTTGCATCTTACTAACTTCAATAAGCATTCTGGTGTGCATCCAAGTCCGTGAGAAATGGTGTTAGCATTGTATCAGCAAGTTTCCAACCCCATTGTGTCGGATTCAGGTAATCATTTGTGAGCTTCAACCAAGTTATAACTTGCAAGTGATCCCGCAAACTGTGAAAAAATTCTTCTCTCTCTGCAGGTGGAAACTTCTGTGGATCAATTGATGCTTTTCTTGTAAGTACCATCTCCATGTATTTAGAGTACCGTAGACTGTTCAAAGAATCATTTGCTCTGCTACCATATAGGATAACGTATAACCGAATACCTGCTTTGCCAATCTGCTCTACTGTAGCCTCATTATCGGTTATAAAGAAAGATATCCGCTGCAATTCTTCTGATTCTTTCATCTTCTTCAAAGACTGGTTTTGCCATGCCCATAGGTTGCAACCACTCCATGCGTGGATAAACAGGAGATGGGATGTTACAACTCTCCCAGCTTTGTTAATAAGGTCTTGAACTTTCCACACCTTCAAACCTTTCTTTGATCTCTTTACCTCTGAATGGAAATATATATCAGCCATATTCGCGTTCGAGTACGCGGAAGAGAACAACGACCTCTACCCCACATTCCACCAGTTCTCGGTAATGATTCAGAAGCAAGCTAGATTGAAAAATCATCCGAACGTGGTAGCTAGTGAACACCTAAACCCCAACGATCCACGACCCAGAGATCCAAAGAGAGAAAGACCGAAAGACAATCGTGTGTTCAAAACAAGAGCGGATGACATCAATGATGATAAAGAGTTTAGTGTTTACAATAAGAACGAAAGGTTCTGTTCATTTCACGAAAGAAAGGGACACAAACTCGGTGAGTGTAAAGCCTTTAGTAAAAAGACTTTGGAAGAAAGAACTGATTGGATTAAGAAAGCCGGTCTCTGTTTCCGATGCCTGGTCGGGAAACATCGAGCGAAGCAATGTAAGGAAAATGTGAAATGTGGGAAGTGTAAGAGCGAACGACATCCAACAATATTACACAAAGATAAGGTCGAGAAGCAAGAAAAACGAGGAGAGAAATAACGGCGAGGAGCGAGTTAACGAAGATCTACAATCGCGATGCACTTCTGTCTGTCTGGGGAGATCAGGAGGACTATCTTACAGTAAGATCCCGCTCGTAGACGTGTATGCAGAAGACAGACCAGAAAACGCTCACCGGGTGTATGCTATAATGGATGATCAAAGTAATGCATCAATGATAAGCCCAGAACTAGCAGACTTGTTAGATATCGATAGCCCAAAGCAAAAATACCTTCTTACGACATGTATTGGTGCTAAAGAAACAAAGTACGGTCGGCGAGTATCCGGGCTATTCGTGAAGTCTATGTGTGTCAGAATCGCTAAGTTATCTAACCTCGTTGAGTGTGAACAAGTACCACAGGACAAGACCGAGATTCCCACTCCAACCACGACAAAGCGCTACCCCCACCTCGAGGAAGTAAGTAAAGAAATCCTACCGTTAGACCAGGAAGCCAAGATCGGTATTATCATTGGCCGAAATGCCCCAGAGTTGTTGAAAGTCAGGGCTTTCAAAAATGGTCCCAAAGCTGCACCTTGAGCACAAAAGCTTGCGCAAGGATGGACGGTGTCTGGTCAAATGTGTCTTGACAGAGTTGGAGGACTAGTACACATCTCAGCCCGTAGTACAGTCGTACAGCTGCCACCACCTACACTCGTCATCGAACCTAGGGTACAACACGAGGAAGGTGTCCACGCCAACCTGGAAACCCACCCAGGATTTCGAACAGTAACGTGTCCAAACTACTTTGAAGTTAAAGACGAGATCAAGGACCATTCAGAGAAAACGAAGAGCGACGTTTACCGAACTAACCCGGAAGACAATGAAATCGGCTTATCTTGGGAAGACCGCCAGTTCCTTCATATTATAGAGAAAGGGATTCACAAAAATGAATATGGCAATTGGGAGATGCCGCTACCCTTCCGCTCTCCGAAAGTGACGATGCCAAACAAACGGGAGCAAGCTATGAGTCGCCTGCAGAGTTTGCTGCGTACCTACAAAAGAAAGCCCCAGATGGAGAAAGATTATTTGGAGTTTCTCGGAAAAGTAATCAAACGCGGACATGCCGTTCCGGTCCAACGAAGCGACGTCCCTACAGAACAAGAAGGCAAATCCACAAGCCCGGAGGAGAAAGCAGGTGTCAAGCCTGGCAAAGTATGGTACCTACCGCATTTCGGAATCTATCATCCCAAAAAGCCGGCGCAGATTCAAGTGGTTTTCAACTCATCTTGCGAGTACAAAGGTGTATCTCTCAACAAGGGGCTACTGGTTGGTCCAGACCTAATGAACAGTCTACTGGGAGTCCTCATGCGCTTTAGACAAGAAAGCGTTGGAGTGATGTGTGATGTGGAACAAATGTTCCATTCGTTCTACGTCGAACCAGCCCACAGAGACTTTCTCAGATTCTTATGTTTCAAAGACAATGACCCATCCCAGGCTAGGAGATTATCGAATACAAGATGACAGTCCACCTTTCGGCAACAGCCCTAGCCCAGCCGTGGCTACATTCGGGATGCGAAAAGCTGCAAACGACGGCGAGGAGAAACACGGAGCGGATGTGAAGAAGTTCATCTGCGAGGACTTTTACGTCGACGAGGGCTTAACCCTATTTGTACCGGGGTTTTTCATGTTGATATGACCGGGGGTGCGCTGATAGGGCGCACCCCCCAGAAATTCTGTCGATTAACTGCTATTATCCTATAAGTTTTATTTTTAGTAAGTTTTATCTTTCTTTAACCTAAAAATAACAAAAAAGTTAAATTCACATCCAAAATGCTGTTTTTTGGCCCCATTGAATATGACCGCCTATCCAAAAATGGCGAATATACCTAATATTTTACCCATTTTGGTTATATTTTGTAAAGAGATAACAAAACATTTTGGATGTGATATTTTTTGGGTCTTTTACATTCAAAAGACATACTTTTATGTTATAGCATATCTCAGATGTCCATAAACACCACTATTTTACTTTCCAAGTTGGCATTTCTGTGCCATATGAAAAGACATACAACTGAAACTTACCTGTCTCTCATATAAACAATCCAAAACATTTTCAAGTTTCAACATCACTGATTTAGTGATTTTATCTTCATATCACTGTGACAGTGTCATTGTTGTAATGTTCCATAAATCGCATAGTATTCGCAATTGTGCATTCTGTTGAAACTCTAGCACTTTTTGTTGGCATAACTTCTTTAGTGTAAACATAAAACGTTACACTGAAGTCGACCAACAAAAGTTTGTAGAAACAATACGAAATGGCAGCCATGTTTTATACCAATATACTATGTGTTACATGAAGTGTTAGGCAGGTGAGCTACGAGCTGCGAGCCTGCAGTATAGTTTTGAAAACACAATATTTACTTTGAAAATCATGGCAATCAGTCTGAACTTTATGCAAAAGTTTTACTCTCAATTGGAAAATTTCTTGTACGAATGTGTTCAATATATAATGCATCCTACACGTTTGGTGCTTGCTGAAAGACAGGGAGATATTTGAATATATAGAAATATTATAAATAAGTATTTTATATTATATAAGTATTGTATAGTATGCTATATTATATGTTATACTATATTTTACTATTTTATATAATATATAATATATTATGGATATTTGACTTTGCATATCATGTGTAATAATCCATCTTTATATGTTCTCTAATTAGTGTATTATGTTATTTATGACCTGGGAAGTGATTCAGCCAAAAAATACTGTCCAATCCACATTTTCCCATTTTTGGCCCCGACACCTTGTTTGACAAATGTCGTCAAACGTCCGGATAACTTTGAATTTTCAGAAAAAATTTTTCGCAGTCATGACGGCAGAGGAAAAATATTAAAAGTCATGAAAGCACAGGCAAATGGGATCATTTGTTCAGGAATGACGGATAAATATTTATACGGGTGCGCTCATTGTGCCCTATTAATCCTATTTGTACCGGGGGTGCGCCCCAACTTGAGAGCGAGAGCCTAAAATTTATGAAATTTTATTCATTTTTGAAATTGAGGGCCCCTTACAATAGCTCCACATGCAGTCACTCTAGCTAAGGTCTATCTAGTTAGGTGACTGACTTGGGCCTAGCTTAAAATTAAAATAATGTCATTCAAGGGGCCCGCAGAGAAGATTTGTCCCGGGCCCCGCAAATTCTCTAGGCGGCCCTGAATGATTCGTGTTCCGCCCGACGGATTTCTTTTGAAAGCGATTGTTTTTACGGTATGTGAACGTGAATATACACCCCCCCCCCCCCAATTATCGCGTTTAGC